TATTAGTACAGATTACATATTATAAGATAAAGTCTCCCTGAAGCGTCTGTGTGTCTGAACGCGATAAACTCAAAAACTTACAAACAGGTTTTCATACAGTTTTCCCCAATAGACGGAGTTGTTCTTGAGGAAGCTTTAGGTGTTCAATTCATTAAAGTTTTATGTAAATTGTCTGAAGCATGACGTTGATTGTTGAATATGTTGGAAAAAATCGTATCGACTGTTTTACTGGTGTGCTCCGCGAAAACCCATGAAGTTATATGAAAACAATATATTACGGGATTCATCATCTCTCTGCCCATTTTCCAATAATTTTATTAAAATTCTTCTTAAAAATATGTATTAAACTAAGGCAACTCTATAATATGTACGTACCTAGAAACGCACTCGAGCGAAGCTAAGGTAAGTCACTAGTTTTATTATAACGTAGCAATATAAGGATAGGTAATAGAATTTTATATCTATTTTCTATCTCTTTGCTTCCTTAAAAAAGCATTTCACCTTTATGCTTAAAAGAAGGTTGAAAATACATACAATAAAATGGGAAATAGTTACAGATTACAACGTTTACGCCATATTTAAATATTTTATAGCAACAGACTGAATATTTTCCGTGATGAGATGAAAAGAAATTATAACTAAAACTAAAAATAATCACGAAGATGGTGCTATGAAATCCAAACTAATGAAATATATATGTCATGTGTTTCATGGTTAGGTCTTATATACATATATGTATGTATAATGTATATGAAATAAATATGTATGTATATACATAATTATGTTACATATAAGCCTTGTCTTTGTTTTGTACCTGACACATTCAGTCTTCACTTTAATTATTTTTGCCTAATGTCATTTATATATTACTCCACCTGCGTTCAGATTACCAAAAACCAAATTATTAGGTTTTACATATTAGTATACTCTTACATTGCAGTTTTTGTATTTTTTCTCAGAAATCGGTAAAAGGTATCCTATATATTGACTTGGACAACCAGCTATCACCATACCAAATTTCATCAAAATCCCTCCAGTGGTTTTTCTGTGATGCGGTAACAGCCAGACAGACAGACAGACAATAATTCTAAAAACTATAGATTCGGCCTTTGTGTCGATAATAATGTTAATTTCAATAAGATTTTGCAAAAAATATTTAATGTACAGATTCGGCTTAGTTACAATTTTATTATATGTATAGATTTAAATTAAATCACCTATAGTGAAGAAAGAATATCGCACAAGATATAAAATTTTTAAACTTTATATTAATAGTAAAGTATCACCCTTAAATAAAAATCCAAGTAACACAATTTTATAGAAAAGCTCGCAATACGAGAGCTTTGAGCGAGCGAATATTTTCATAATGAGGGGTAAAATAAAGAAAAAGTGCGATGATAATAATAAAAAATAGTACCAAAAAGTAATGACCTAACGTTGACAACTGGCCACAAAGCCAAACTTCCCACCTTTGTGTGGAAGCAGGGAGTAGAACATTGTCTACAGACAGTAATATCCTGTTTCCTACCTTATAAAGTAAAGGAGTTCGCGGTGATACTAACGAATAATTAATAATATAAATGAGAGATTTTTATAAAAATGTTTGAGTATGTATGATTGTTACTTAATTATGCATAAACTGTTCAACAGTACCCTATGTGTTACTTCAGGTTGTTATCTATCTGTCTAGTAAATTTCATCCAAATCCATCCAGCCATTTCAGCGTTAAGTAGTAAGAAACATACATACAGGCAAACTTTCATATATATAAAAGTAGTCCGACTAGCGACTCGCTGTATTTCACTCAGGCCTTTAACAAAATATTTGTTCTAACTCTTGTTTCATAGAAAATGAAAGATACTCGTAGATAAAAAATACTCAATCGAAAATTCGCTCGGGTGCGTTCCTGGGTACGCGGATTTTGTTCACAATTTCATGGGGTTTCTTGCGTGAAACCCTAATTCTTTTTCTAATACTAATAATAGTATGCCTAATACTTATTATAACATCAGCTATCTCCCAGTGAAAGTCCCGTAAAATCGGTCCAGCTGTTTCGGAGAGTAGCCGGCACAAACAGACAGACAAAAAAATTTGAAATTGTGTTTTTCTTATTAGTATGGTATATCCTTTTTTATGTTCATTAATTCTTTTAGTAACAAGCTGTTATTTTGACATTACAAACGGACACTTCAATTTTATTTATCTACAGATATCTGATAGAATTTAATTCCAACTGTTATTATTTTTAATTGAAAAAATACACAGTATTTAAACACGCTATCATTTTACTTTGGACCTCACAAAACAAAGCAAAACGCGGTAAACACAAAATCTCAGCACTGGCTAAAGATATTCGGTCAGCGTTAACGCTTTTGGAAACTTTCTTAATGACTTGGCAGTTATCTTATAAGGATTTAGGTTGAAGGAATGCATTTCATAATTTACACAAAGAAAACGCTTCATAAATTAAACTTGGGGTCACTCAGATAATGGTTTTTATTCAAAAGTTGATTAAAACTGTTAGAGCGTTACTTTATTCTAGCAGAGTATGAATTAGGTAGCTGTATAGATGCGCAGTGATACATATACAATCGGTATCCTTCTATGAAGATCGTAGGTTCAATTTTATTACCCCATTTCTCGATGAAAATTTAGACAATGCTGCATTTTTTAACCCGTTTAACTTTCTGTAAAAAAAGTACTAGATACACAGTCAGCGACAAAAAATGTCCTTACCAAATGAGCGCTCATTTGAACATTTGAGCGCGCTTTTATCTCATTTTTTATGTGAAAAGAATTTTCAGCATTGCATTTAAGGTTCAGTTTACATTGTTGTATATTTATTGCAACTAGAATAATTACCTAAACACAATCGGTGACAGTTTTAAGAGAAATTTTGCATGGGATTGTGTATCTAGTACTTTTTTGTTCGATGCGAATAACTGATGATTTGATGAAACGTAACAGACGTTACTCATTCTTGTGATATTAAACGAGCAATTCTTGTATATATACATAAATTTATTTCGTGTATCTCGGATACGGCTCTAACAATTTGAATCAAATTTTGAAGTTAAAATAGGTTTTTTTAAAGTATATGTTACATATGTAAGAATATAGGTGTATTTTCTGAAAAAAATAATAATATTTACCCATAAACGTGAAGATCGGTTGAGCAGGTACTATTACTTAATATGTACACTGTTAATATATACCCCAGACTCAGACCTATATCGACTTAACCACATACTAGAAAGTTTAGCTGTGTACGCTAATCGTAATAATAAATATTTTCTGGTATACCTAAAAAAATTCCTTGGTAGAACTTCGTTTTGTGATAAAAGAAAACTCCCTACCAAATTTCATCGAAATTGAAAGGGGTCGATTTCACATGGAATGACCCGTGTAGATAGGACTCTAGGCTTAGACGATACTTCGATATATGTATACATATACTGTTATTTTTGGGTCATTCCACTGGCTCTGATATACATTACATGGATTCATTCTGTAATATAAGACTATTCACAGGTAACGTTATATCTATACATATGAAAAATCTTATTGAAATAGCCGTTATTATCGATACAGAGGCCGAATCTAAAGTTTTTAGAATTTTTATCGGTCTGTCTGTCTGGGAACGCATCTAGAGAAAACCACTAGACAGATTTTGATGAAATTTGGTATGATGATAGCTATTTATTCAGATCAACACATACTCGTAGGATACTTTTTACTGCGGGAAAATATCACATCTCTGAGAAATCTAACCCTTAAAACGTATACGAAACACGAACGGAGCGAGGTTGTATCTAGTACAAATAATATGTGCATCACATTCTGTAAGAAAATTCATATCATCTCTTTCCGGTTGATAAAACATGTATGCAATAACCCTAGAAATCTAAACTAGGACATCTAGTTTCCATGATATTGATATCACCTTGGCGTGACCCGTTTACATTGTGAGTACAATCGTTTGGATTCATATTTTTAATAATAAACATGTATAAATCCAAAAATAATACTTAGAAATAATAATAATAATAAATTGAAACGTCTGTGTGTAACCCATTTACCGATAAAAATTTAAAAAATCCTAATGTAGTCATGATATTATAAATACAGACGCATTTAAGGAGGTACCCGTGAGAAGCGAGTAAGCGTGAGGTAAGTGTCCACAAAAACATAAAGTATGTTAATACCTAAAAATTCAAAGTAATATCGTACTACAATAGGTACTATAAATAGTGATAAACAAATAAAACATAACAAACTAGGGACGAAACCGAGCGAAGCTCGGGTTCATCCCTAGTTTTAGGTACGTTTTAATTTTTTTGAGCGGAACCCTGATTCTTTTTCTAAAGTAAAAGTAGCCTATGTTACTCCCTATAACATCAGCTATCTTCCAGTGAAAGTCCTGTCAATATCTGTCCAGCCGTTTCAGGGATTATCCGGAACAAACATACAGATTGACAGACAAAAATAAAAAAAAAGTGTTTTTGTTATAAGTACCGTATATAACTTCATATGCATTTAGTAAAATGCTGTTATTTTGATATTACAAACAGACACTTCAATTTTATTTATCTGTATAGATAGTCTAAGCACTAGACAAACAAACATTTAACATCAATATACAAAAATGAATCTAATTTAATATCACCGATCGTTCTGTAGTCGTTTCGACACAATGTAAATGGGGTTTGAAAAATAGGTTGTGGCGTATTCTTATCGAGTAAGCGATGTTTTTTCGCAACAATTGTAATATTGCATCCGTTGATAAATCGATAGATTCCAATGCGTAGAAGCTTTCCATGTTATATTAAATACCAATAGAATTTACCTTTTAGAATACGTATGTGCTATTACTATTCCTATTGGTCTAGTGGCTAGTATGTATAGCAGATCACCAGGCCCTGGGTTCAAGCCCGGGTTATTTCAAGAGTAATTGGGGTTTTTCAGTTTGAAAAATCTCAATAACAGACCAAAGAAAGTAGATGGTGTTGAGCCCTTTTGCTCAGAGAGTACGTAAAGCCGTGTCATCCCATAATATGAGAGTCACAGGAATAGAGAGTGCACTTGTGTTTTCGTACATACTTCTGCACAGTGCTAGTCTAGTCTCAGTGAGATTAGCCGACGAAGAAGACTCAGGAGGATTATTTATTAGTAATTCGCCCAAGCTTCTTTCATATGGGACTTTTATTAGCTACTAGCGGCTCACTCACGCTTCACTCGGGTTCGTCTCTAGAAAAAAAAAACAAATCTAACCCACGGGAACCGTACTTTTTTTCGGGATAAAAGTAACCTCTGTATTATTTTGATGTATGAGCAATTTTATTGCAAAGTTTCATCAAAAACCATTCAGTAGTTTTTGCGTGGAAGAGTAACAAACAAACATCCATACATACACCCATACAAACATTCTGACATACTTTCGCGTTTATAACATTAGCAGGATTATTAAATACCTGATAATTGCAATATAAATATAGATATATTTTGGCTCTTTAAGTTAGCAATTAAAGAAATAATAGTATTTTAAATAAAGCTTTCTGTTATAAGATAGTTTTATTTAAAATGTCAAATATTCGCGTAAATCTAAGAAAGTATTAAAAAATAATGTTAAAATGAGTAATACTTTTTTGCACATTGACCTTTAGATAATTTCTCAATTAAATAATCTATATGAGGTATATATAGGCTATTTTATTCGACGTAAATACAACCCCAGCGAATACCGCGTGCAAAAACTAGTGAATAAATAATACATTTGTGACTGCTCGATTAATTTTATAATAGTATCGAGATAAAAAAACGCTGATGTAATTGAAACTCAGTGACCCGCAGCTTAGTACATGTAATTGAGTTTTCCACTTCAAATTTTTTCCAACATCAATTTCCTATTTGGCAATATTTTTATGTATTAAGGTATAGCTGAAAAACTATCGAATTTCTAGTTAATACGTTTATTATCTAAAAGCTAGTTTTAGAGACGATGTACGATTATGGGTTCGATTCTGGCTCAAGTCATAAATGAGGAAGATGTTTAGCGTTTAGAGATCTGTTTTATAGAATAAGTAAAACATCGTAGAGTAGGTTCGTAGTTTCCATTCCTTTAAACTATAACGATGTCCATAAAATTGTAATAATTATATATGATAACAGCAAAAATTAAATAAATAATACTCCATATTAAATTATAAAACTAATTAAAATTATAAAAATGTTTAAAGTTATAAAATATTGTAAGGTACTTGGTGCAATTTTTATTTTTATATATTATTTTATATATTTGGTGCATTTTGCTAATTGTGGGTAGGCGGTCTGTAACAACTATACCTTCGAGACATCTAACACCTCAGTCTCTCTGATGATGATTGCTGTAAAGCATTCGAAACGTCGGGAACCAAAAATCAAAATAAATCCGCAAAATAATCCGAAAAGATAGCTTTATTTAAAAATGTCAAACATTCGCGTAAATCTTAGAAGGTATTATGATTATCACGTCATCAGAATATTCAAAATAATCACGTTAAATACAATATGATGCGATACATCCTGTTTGAGATAAAAGAACATTAAATTAAATATTTCATACAAAATGTACCAAGCTTCATTATAAAGTGACCAGTTACGAGTATTATTAAAATTAAAGCCTTTTGAAATTGTCGATTATATCAAAAATATGCTTTTAAAATTGAATTGTCTGTAGTGTAAAATAATAGGTTATAATTGACAGTATGTTTTATTTTGTGATTACTGAGTTAGTCGCAAGTTCGATTTCTGAACGTGAAAAACTTGTAATATTGTATATAGTAAAAGTTGTATTTAATAAGTTAAAGCAGTGGTACCTATTGGACCCCCCCAACGTGCGTTCACCTTGTCGTGGTGGGGGGGCTCAGTAGTGCCCGGCAATCCAACCGGGCGCGAAGCTAAGAAACGCACAGGGAGGTTGCCCACTTCGGTGGGCGGTGGGAGGTGGCCCTCTCCGGGGGGCGGTGTACCATGCGGGTTGCTCCTGGTACTTCTCTGATAGCAGAGTGGACTGTGGAGCAACCCCATGGTTGTGGTGGTCTGCTTCGGCAGACCTGCCGTCGGGGCGTCGTAGTTGAATGCGTAAGCGATCCTGCGACGCCCCATTAAGACGGGGGAAGGTTTTGTTGGGTTTTAGTGGGTAGTACTGGCTGTATTACGCCGGTGAGTCCCACACGTCGTGCGTAAATGCATTTCCCAACGTTAAAAAAAAAAAAAAAAAAGAAGTGGTACCTATTGGTAATGCGCTCGCTTGGAAAGCCAAGTGAAGCGAGTTCAGACCTGGGACTCGAACCTTTGAGATTTTCATGTGCGAATCATTTTCAACATGATTAACCATTTGTTAATACGACATCGTGACAGAAACTGCACGTATGAGAGAACCTAACTGGCTTTTGAAAGACGTGTGAAGCTTACCAAACTTTATTGGATCTGAATGACATCTTTTGCAATAAAATTACTAACACATAATAAAAATATATTTATTGCTATCATATTATTTATAAATTTAAAAAAATATCAATCTTCTAGAGGTACATATAATAAAATTGTAACTAAGCCGAATCTGTACATTAAATATTTTTATTGAAAAATTTATTGAAATAGTCATTGTTATCGATACAGAGACCGAATCTGTAGTTTTTAGAATTTTTGTCTGTCTGTGTGGGACCACATCACGGAATTATCTGGGATTATCCGGGTCACCATACAGGATACTTTTACTGCGGGAAAATACCTCATCTCTGAGAAATCTATACTAAATATTAAAACGTAAGTAGGGACGAACCGAGGATGAATCGGTAGTCTGTATATAAATAGGCAAAGACAAAACAGTTCAGTACTTTTTATCCTCTGTTTGCCAATCGATTTGTTTTGTTTAGTAGCTACTGACGAGCAGTTTCAAAATAAAAAAATAAACATTTTAAAACATGTAATATAGTTTTCGAAAGACATGTGAAGTCCACCAACCCGCACTTGGCCAGCGTGGTGGACTAAGGTCTGATCCCCCTCGTATTGAAGGAAGGCCCGTGCCCAGCAGTGGGACGTTAAAAAGGGCTGAATACATTTGAAAACAGTTAGTTTTTTATATAAACTTACACTTTTGTTATTACAATTTACTTCAAATATAATAGTTTTCATAAATATATACTTGTCGCTTCCTTGATTCTTCACATTTGTATGTGAAGAATCAAAGAAGCGACTGTCATCATTACAACAGTATAAAGTGGTAGCGTTCGTTTGTTTGTATATACGAGTAGTGTTCAATCTCAGGAATTATTGAACCTATTATATAAGTTTTATCACTAATGAACTAAGCTGCACTAGCAATAAACCATCCAAAAAAAGACGCGGGCAAATATGTAGCGCATTATAAAGTATATTTGAACTTTAATTATTATATTAATAAATCTTATTTACTTTGTTCCAGCGCCACCAAATGCCGTAGAAATTGTAAACCACCTTCACAATTCAAAACTAGAAGTAAAAGAAGGAGAAGATGTGGTCCTAGAATGCCAAGTGAAGAACGCCAAGCCCGCTGCCAAGATTGTTTGGTATAGAGGGAACCAAGAAATGAAAGGGGATAAAGGTATGTTTTTAATATTACCATATGTTATGCTAAGTTTAAACTGATTTTTCTTATATTTACAGCGTCATCTATTGATAAGTTTAAGCTAGTGTATTAAAATATCATTTTTTTGGAGCTGATTCCCCATGGAAGTTAAAAAATATATATTCTATGTTTTAAGTCTGTGCCATGGTATCTTTGTGCCAAGTTTCATCTAATTTTATGCAACATCTAAACATATTATACCCAAATTTTCATTAGAAAATCATAATTTATTTAAGAAAAATATATAATTAGGATTCCGCAAAAAAAATAAAACCCATGAAATTCCCAATCCACGTACCTTGGGACGCACCCGAACGAAGCTAGAGCAACTAGCTAGTTCGGAATAAAAATTAACTATTGTATGCTTTTTGTTAAAATTTTAAAATCTTTTTCAAGTCATTTCGGTCGAGATTAAAAATGACTGAAAATCGATGATATGTCACGGCCATTCCGACTATCGAGTTGATAAAAATATTTTACTGGACACGTGTCTGATGCATACTGTCAGTTTAAGCGCTGTATTTTAATTGACATGGTTTTTTAATATTTAAATGGTATTTTTGCTCTGACAATTTGTTTTGACATTAATAATTTCTGAATAAACGTTTTAGAATGTTGTGTAATGTCAAAATAGAAATAAGATGAGACAAAATGTTGCGCGCATGATAATATATCTATGTTATTATATTATATACGAGTATAACAGTTACAGTTTAATTATATGTATAACGAAAGCGATTTTTCTTTTGTCATGTCATCACGTAAAAACTACTAAACACATCGGTGTGGAATTTAGACCAATCGACGCGGGATGATCTGTACTTCACCACTCTTCACCATTTTTTTATTTACTTTCATAATTTTTTATTTCCGCCAATAAATACATAATGCGTTATACTTTCTCAATATTTAATTTATAAGCGTAAAACCTAAATACACATTAAGGTCTCTGAAGACCAAAATAAACATTTACGTACGCCCAGCAAAGCTAACGTAAAAAGCAAAGGTAACGGCTACTATATTATAAAGCTGCTAATGTTTTTGAAATCGTATGTCTTGTCTTACTTTTTATTTCCGAATCGCGAAATAAACATGCAATCGCGATTTTGAAGATAATTTTTGTAATTAGGTCTATAATAAAAGAAATACCTGTGGGCTTTTTTACCTTAAGCAAACTTACGGTATTTTATTATATTATAGCTGTTCTGAAGGAACGTGGATAACCTAAAAATGTCAGTTAAAATACGATATCATATAATTAAAAACCAACAAAAAAGCCATACATAAAGTTAATTATTCATCCCATTGAGAAAATAGCCTTCATTCGTTTTCCCGTAATTAGAAAACAAAGTTCCAAAATTTTTAGTTCAGGTCTATTTTGTAAATAAGCAGTGCTGTAACGCAATTTGAAGCTTTTAAGCTGATAATGGTTAAACTTTTAGTTTGGAAATTTAAGGCGGAAAGCTCGTGAGCAGTGTTTTATATACAAAAATTTCCGCTATATTTTTTTGAAGTTGGGAATCATTGGATAACACTTTTAGACGTAAATTAAAGTTCTCTTCGTTGTGACGAAACCAAGGTCTTTTGCTCTTCCTTATCTTTTTTCTCCGTATTCTCCTTTCATTTTCGATCTAAAATACCAGAGTATATAAATATAGTTGTTTTTCCCTTTGGCTTTGCTTATATGAACATTGTACCTTTTAAAAATAAGTAGAACTATCTTTTCGGACTTTTCGCGGATTCATTTGGATTTTTGGTTCCCGACGTTTCAAATGCTTTACAATAATCATGGTTAAAATAATCCGCGAAAAAATCCTAAAAGATAGTTTGATTTAAAATGTCAAATATTCGCTTAAATCTTTTAAAATTAATATCAGTAAAGTATTACCTACGCATTGTATATTGTCTTGTCGTCAGGGAATGCATTTAGACGTATATCTACTTATTTTGTAGCACGCCCTACAATTTGATAATCGAAAATCAAAAGATTGGACTTCGCTTCACTTCTGTTAAAGTTGGATCGTTAAATTAGCCAAATCGTGATCTACCTAGGCTTTTCGTGATCTAACAGCCATTTTATCGTTAAAATAGTTGATATATCGATTCTTTAGGGTTTCTATGGCCTTAAGCTAAAGTTTAGGTAACAAAACGGCAACTATCGGAGAGACCTAGACAGATCTAGATTTAGCTAATCACATTTTTACGAATCAAATTCACAAATTGGATCTTGACATCTCGCCTCACTTCGTATTTGCTGAACATATTATAGTAAATCTTGCTTAAATTTTAATAAATAGGTATATTTAACTTATTTCGTTACATTATTTGGACCTCTAAATCGGAATGACAGAGCTCCATACAATCTTTCATCCCCTATTTGACCTTCTTAGGGAATGAATTTCGAAAAATCGTTTCATATCGGATGCCTACATCATATAAGAAATACGTTCTCCAAATTTCATGTTTCTACGACCAGCGGTTTAGGCTGTACGTTGATCCATCAGTCAGTCAGTCAGAACAATGCATTTTAAATATAAGTATATAAACTTTTAAAGAAAATCAAATTAAAATCAATCATGAAAATTCAGATTGCTTTTTTATGAAGCAAAAGTTTACAACTTTAAGGAATATTGGAAAAATATAACAATTAAAAAGTGCTGAAGCGATTGCAGTCAGGAATTAATATCTGCGATGATTCCATTCAATTTGATAGCGATTACGGGCGTTCTGCGTCGTTAGGTGGTTAGAAAAATCAAATAAAAGCGCCCCAATAAAATATTACCAGGTAGTAATAGAAAGTATTCTATTATAGTCGTTTGGAAATTTATGGGTATGATATTTATACGTACCTATGGAATTCGTGGCATTTATTTTTTTATCTATATTTAAGGTATGAAGATAAATTTGTTTGTTTGTCTGCGCTAAGCTCCGGAACTACAACTCCGATTTAAAATTTTGTTCGATATTTTATAGCCTATTAATTGTGGAAGTTTATAAGCTATCTGGCATTACGCTGCGACCTTTGGGAGTAGAATAAATTAAAAAAAAACTGTGTAAAAAGTAGTAGTTCGTAATAATACAATTGTTTATTTTTGTATTTGTTTACCCTTTTTTTGTGTACTAAAGGAGAATTGCTTATGGAATGTTAATTGGCGTATATAAGTATACTCGTAATACATAAAATAGCGTGTAAAATCTGTCATTATGTTTTTATTATTTTGTCTAATTGGTGAATGTTTTACAGACTTTTCCTGATTATGAGAAGAAGCGTTAAAAAAAATCGTAATAACCGTTTTATATACATTTTTAAAATTCTGTCCGAAAACGTCTTTTTATCGCACCTATATTTTGCTTTAAAAAATTTAACATTCTATTTCTATCGATTAAGTAGATACGAAGATTCATCTTAATAATTGGCTATAAATTAAACATAAAGACACATGTTCACAATCAATAGTCAAAATCAATATAAATTGATGAAGAAAATCTTAGAAACTACTCGCAGTCGATACGTGACGCTCTACGTTAATTGGACGCATCACTAATTGATGCTATCTGGCAGTCTGTAATTAAGGAAGTTTTCGATTTCAATTAGCAAACAATTGCATTGTTCTGTTAAATGGAGGCATCGCTCCGTTTTTGATTTGTTTAATATTTACAAACAACTTTCTACTGGGGTTCTCCTCACGAATTACGATGGTAAAAATAGCCTTTCTCACTATCTTTGCCTCTGATAAATTTTTAAGTTTGCTTATTCAATCTCAAAATATATATAAAAAATAATCAGTCATTTTGTTGTTGCAAATCGCTTAAAATTTCAATCGCCGCGGTCAATCCTTTGAGACTAGCCAACTATATAGGAAATATTATAGTGCACAAGTGTTCGCGCAGACACAAATGCACTCTAAATTCCTTTTCAGACTCAAAGTCCGATGGCACGATAGTCGACACAACAGGTGAGAAATACGACAGGACCGACAGCTTATGTGCTCTCCGAGGCACGGGGGTGAGGCACCGCCAACTCCCGAACTCCGGGCTGCTACTGAGAATTTCTTAACAGAAAACCTCGATAGCTAAACTTGGCTTGACCCGGGATTCGAATCAAAGACCTTATGATCTGCGGCCATACATGCTAGCTACTAGATCATCGATTCAGTTACATATACATTCGTATATACTATACTGCATACTAGTATGTTTAACAGCACTAAAGAAAATAAATTCTAGCTGCATTATAAAAACATTGATATTTTTGATTGCGAATGTAAAATTCACTATCGTATTATAAAATCGATTTTTCCAATCGTTCAGAACGGAAATGACGGATAAATATTTAAATGTGTCATAAAATTGAGCTTCCGGTTTGAAGTGCCTTTTAATATATTTTCGTCTTTACAGTTTGTACTTTAACTGGCAAAATGCTAATAATTTCCTCGCAAATATTGTACTTTAAGTGAAAAAATTTAAGAATCTACTATTTATTTAGATATAGAAACACAAGATTATTTTTATCTATACATATAATAAAATTCTGAGTCGAATCTGTACATTAAATATTTTTTTTTTGGAAAATCTTATTAAAATAGTCATTATTATCTATACAGAAGCCGAGTCTATAGTTTTTAGAATTTTTGACTATGTCTGTGATCGCTTCACGGAAAAACCACTGGAGAGATTTTTATGTTTGGTATGATGATAACTGGGTATCCGGGTCAATATATAGGATACTTTTTACTGCGGGAAAATATCTCATCTCTGAGAAAACCATATTAACCGTTAAAACGTTGTTAGGGACGAACGCGAGTGGAGCGAGAGTGAGTCGCTAGTATATTGTATATATGTATATACTAGATTGGATAACTACAAAAATTAAATTTATTACTTACGCTTAATCTATATATAAATAGGCAAAAACAAAACACTTCAGAACTTTTTTCTCTTCTGTTTATCAATCGTTTTTTTTTGTGGAGTAGCTA